CCACAGTGCCACTCATGTATAGTAAGGGAGGGCAACCAGAGGCCTCTGGCCTAATTTCTCGTGGGTGGCAATAATGGAAATATGGGGTGAAGCAGTATGCTTCTGGATACCTGTTGATTCCTAGCAAGACAGAGAGGCACTCTGTGTGAGAGTTTCCCATGTTTGAGAAAATGGTCACTTGTACCTCCCCTGAAAGAGCAGGTTTGCAGTCTTGGCTGCAGACTGGAGGGCCAGGCCATTTCAATGGTTAGAACTGACTTTTACCAGTTGAGACTGGTGCAACAACTATGATTGTTCCTCAACCAGGAAAACTTGGTAGATCATGCACTGGTTACTTCAAGACAGGATTACTGCAGTGTTCTCTATGAGGAGTTTCCTTTTCACTTGATCTGGAAGCTGCAGTTAGTGCAGGATGCCACTGCCTGATTCCTGACGGGAGCAAAACCCTGTCCACTGCTGCTCAAGAACAGTACGGGTTGCTGTTCTGCTACTAGGCCAAGTTCATGGTGTTACTGTTTAGTATATGAAGCCTTTAAAAGCTGGGGACCAATTTACCTGTGAGATTGCCTTACTCCATATATGCCCACAGGACTACTTTGATCTGTGGAACTGGCACTGTTATAGATGCCACAAAATACTCGTTCTGTGTTTCTAAGAAATTGATATTTCAGTGTAGCAGCGCCCAAACATTGGAATTCCCTGCCTATTGGCATCAGGTAGATAGATGTCTTCACTGTACACTTTTGGGGATCTGCTAAAAACATTTTTAAAAATATAGCCTATGAATGAAATATAGCCCAGAATGTTAACATGTTTTCATCTGGTTTTTAGTTTATCATTGATTCTAATTATTTTTGAATGCTTTATAGGTGTTGTTCTTACTGATGATTTTCGTGCTCTATTCCTTTTGTAAATGACTTTAAGGCTTTATTACAATCCAGTAGTATATCCATCTTGCACAATAAAATAAAATCAATTCAAGACAGATGCCAACAGGGACAAAGATTTTAATAACGATTGTTGAAAGAGGAAAATCTTTAGCAGGTGTGTGAAAAGACAATGGACAAGGTACCTGTCAGATATGCAAAGGGAAGGCATTCCAAAAGATAAGTGCCTTCACACCAACATCTTTAGTGGGAAGGATTATCCAAGTAGCTGGTTTGCAGGAGATTCAGGGCAGGGAACAAAAAGTGTGGTGCATAACAAATGCATAGAATTAGCTGTCACAAGATGTGATAATGGCTATTAGCTAGGCCTGAGGAACCAGTGGATAATAGCCTAAACAAAAGAATCTTGTAGTGCCTTAAATATTAAGTCTGCAAATTCACCTTCCTGGGAGTTAGCCCAATTGAATTCAATAAGTCTTACTTGAGCGCAAAGAATTAGAATTACACTAACACATTTAAAGTGGTGTACTCTTTGGTTATCAACAACTATTTCTTTCACGATTACCCAGTTAACTATGACTACTGTCTGTACTTTTCTGCATTTCATTTCATTCTTACCTCACTGTTTATAATTCCACACACACACACACACACACACACACATGCCTGCAACTCAGGATAACACTTCATGCGCATGATGAAGCACGGGGCAATTGTTTGAAGGAGTTTTCTAGGAACTCAAAAGGCCGCATTAAGAACATGTAAAAGAGCATTTTTAATAATTCTACAGTCACAATTATTTTAATAGTAAATGATTACAATTTGAAGAAACTTGACATTTAAAACTTAACAATAACAACAAAACGCCCTCCAAAACTCCAAAAGGTGGTTTGTTTGTTTTACAAAATCCCACTCAGCATAAATCTCTGCAACAGGCCTCCTGTCTCCAGTTGAAAGGAAGTGGACAACAGCAGGCCAGGGATCATAATAGGCTGTACCAATCTCATTCAGAGCTATGTTTAGCCCTGTATTCACAACCATACTTGTGCATGTGCCATCCACCAGCAGATTAGGCAGAGCCACAACTCTTTCAGTTTGTCCTGAGTGGGGCTGGGTTTTTTTTTATTGCTGACAGTTATGGGCAACAGGTGGTGAAGACTCACCAATAGTGAACATCCTAAATCACTCCCACATGGGAGATGTGGCGCGTCAGAAAATACTTGCCATTGTTTGCATGCATCATCTACAAATGCACCATCTATCCCTAGGAAGACTCTGGTGCCCAGTATAAACCCTGCTTTCACAAACCATGTGAGTGATTGGGTTGATAGCAGATATTAGATATTATTATGGTTCTTTATTCATTGCCTTCCACATACATTAGGGTGATGTGGAAAAAAATAACAGAAGCAGCTAAAAAAAAGTTTAAAACAGCACAAAATGAATTTAAAACAATGCAAAGCAGATACCCATGGTACAGACCTATCCATCCATCCTGGGAAAGCCTCTCAGAAAAAAAAAGTCTTCAATTGTTTCCAGAAAATGCAGATAGCAGGTCTCTGTCATATCTCAACGGACAGAAGACTATCCACAGGCAAGTTCTATCCCAGGCTTTCCTCAGCCTTGGCCCTCCAGATGTTTTTGGCCTACAACTCCCATGATCCCTAGCTAGCAGTACCAGTGGTCAGGGATGACAGGAATTGTAGTCTCAAAACATCTGGAGGGCCAAGGTTGAGGAAGCCTGTTCTATCCTATGTTCCCCTATGGGCAAGCATGGTCTCCCAGAGCAAGTGCCTGATGTAACACCTGGCAAAAGCAAGCTCACACCTCTGATTTTGTATGCATACTTAAGATACATATGTAAGAGACTTGTTTATCATTATGTTTTGGGAATGATTCAAGCTTTTATGTAGCTGCATTATTTTATGTTTTCTGGCTGTCCCTTGATTATATTATAAAGGAGTTGTGTTCTATGTTATAAATCAAGTACTGCTAGCTGTTTGTTTTCGAATGTATTTCTTATCATTTTAAAAATCCTGAAAGTGTGGCCCAGAGAAAAAATTTTGTGAACTGCAGCTCTAGATAAATCAGTCTCAGACCTGCAGTTGCTCCACAACCATCCTCTCCACCACCTTTGCCAAGAAAGGGGTGATGGTGACCAGTCTGTTGGGTCTAGGGTGGGTTTTTTGAGAAGTGTAGACACCGCTTCCTTTTTGAGGACAGTGCAAAAATGTCCATTGTGCAAAAATGCATTTACCACACCTCCGACCCATTCAGTCGCCCCTACCTTGGCCAGCTTTAATAAAGCAGGGTAGACAAGGATCTAATGAAACATCACTGCAAGTTTCTTCTGCAGGCCACGTTAACTGGGGATGATCCCACAATGCATGGCTTCAAGGTTGCATTGGTCACCTCGGCTGGTACTACTGCAATAATGGCCACTGGGCCCATCACCTCCTGGCAAATAGAAGGGGAAGAAATGGAGGCAGTGAGAGATTTTACTTTCTTGGGCTCCATGATCACTGCAGATGGTGACAGCAGTCATGAAATTAAAAGACGCCTGCTTCTTGGGAGAAAAGCAATGACAAACCTAGACAGCATCGTAAAAAGCAGAGACATCACCTTGCTAACAAAGGTCCGTATAGTTAAAGCCATGGTTTTCCCAGTAGTGATGTATGGAAGTGAGAGCTGGACCATAAAGAAGGCTGATCACCGAAGAATTGATGATTTGAATTACAATGGTACCTCAGGTTAAGTACTTAATTCGTTCCGGAGGTTTGTACTTAACCTGAAACTGTTCTTAACCTGAAGCACCACTTTAGCTAATGGGGCCTCCTGCTGCCACTGTGCTGCCGGGAGCACAATTTCTGTTCTCATCCTGAAGCGAAGTTCTTAACCCGAGGTAATTATTTCTGGGTTAGTGGAGTCTGTAACCTGAAGCGTATGTAACCCGAGATACAACTGTATGGTGCTGGAGGAGACTCTTGAGAGTCCCATGGACTGCAAGAAGATCAAACCTATCCATTCTGAAGGAAATCAGCCCTGAGTGCTCACTGGAAGGACAGATCGTGAAGCTGAGGCTCCAATACTTTGGCCACCTCATGAGAAGAGAAGACTCCCTGGAAAAGACCCTGATGTTGGGAAAGATGGAAGGCACAAGGAGAAGGGGACGACAGAGGACGAGATGGTTGGACAGTGTTCTCAAAGCCACCAACATGAGTTTGACCCAACTGCGGGAGGCAGTGGAAGACAGAAGTGCCTGGCGTGCTCTGGTCCAGGGGGTCACGAAGAGTCGGACACGACTAAAAGACTAAGGTAAAGGTAAAGGGACCCCTGACCATTAGGTCCAGTCGTGGCCGACTCTGGGGTTGCGGCGCTCATCTCACTTTATTGGCCGAGGGAGCCGGCGTACAGCTTCCGGGTCATGTGGCCAGCATGACTAAGCCACTTCTGGCGAACCAGAGCAGTGCACAAAGTTTACCTTCCCGCCGGAGCGGTACCTATTTATCTACTTGCACTTTGACGTGATTTCGAACTGCTAGGTGGACAGGAGCTGGGACTGAGCAACGGGAGCTCACCCCTTTGGGGGATTCGAACCGCCGACCTTCTGATCGGCAAGTCCTAGGCTCTGTGGTTTAATAAACGACTAAACAACAACAACAAAATTGCTGCGGAGCTGAACAACTTTAGCCTTGATTGCATCTAATTATCGGGTACTCCACACAGGTCCTCCCCACTCCCCGTTTGAAATTATATTTACAAAGAAAAGCGGGAGTGCCAGCAACTGAAGTAACTGATGGGCTGCAGCACGACGATCTGGCTCGTGTTTTTCCTGGGAGACAACTCCCACGGCGAGCCTTTATCACGTCCCCTTTAAGAGCCGCTTCACCCCGTTCCCTTTAACGGCCGCTGCCGTTGTCATTCAGGGCTCGCGTGCCCGACGGCTGGCCGTTACCCCATTGGTCCGTTACTTTCTCTTGTCGGCCGATTCCAGCTACGCTGCATCTTATGAGTCCGCCAAACGGCGAAAAAAATAAGTCCAGATGTCCCGCCTACTACGGAATCCTTACGCGGGATTGGAGGGCGAAGGAGGACTGACGAGCGGCGGAAGGATCTTGGGGGCGGTGATGTGCCCTTGCCCACAACTACCTTAACCGCCGTTACCGGCAGCTCGGCTGCTCAGAGAGGTCGAGACTCTCCGAGGTGACTGACGTTTGATAGCCGGGCAGGTAAGGCTGGTGAGATGGGTAGGGCGGGGCGGGTTATCCATCAGCCGCTGCAGAGTCGTGAGGAAGAGCCCTGCCTCTCTTAACTTCTCCCCAGCGCCTCACTTCTTTCTCTGCCCCGCTTTTATTCACCTACGACATATTCTCCATCTTTAGAGCTACCTCACTCAAGGCAATTTAACGTTGTTGTTTTTTTAAAATAAAAAAACCTAAAGCCGTATAATATATACTTCCCCCTTCCCCAAAAAATAAAAACCTTATTGGGCTTGCGAGCGTATGGGGAGCATTCTCCTCACACCCCCCCCCCGAGGGCGCGGGGCTGAGGGCGGTTAGGTAACGGCCTGGCACGCGGCCTAACTGTCTGGAGGAAACCCCAGGAAATGAGGGGGAGCTCCTGAGGCGCCGAGGTTTGCGAGGCACAAAAGTGCCCCCCCTTCCGTCTCCATAGAAACGCGGGGGGGGGGGAGAGAAGAGAGGGCCAGGAAGCACGCACGTGTGTTGGGGGGTGCTGCGCACGCGGGAGCGCACTTTTCGAGGTGCCCATCATGGCTTCCTCCATCTCCATCTTCACGCTCTTCCTACCCCGTTTGATTTACTTCCTCGTTCTTTTTCCACGCTCTCTCTTTCTCTCCCCCTCCTCCCTGAAAGCCGCCTCTGCGCATCCTTGAGCAATTCCCGCCCCCGCCTCCCCCCCCCCCGCGCCAGCAGCCTCCCTCTCTGCTGGTGGAAGCGGGAGGTGTCGAGTTTCACCGCATGCCAATTGTGGCCGGGCTATCATATTGCCAAGGGCCTGGTTTCATGAGCGTTATCGGGTCGCACCGATAAGGCAATCAGAGCTTACGGTTTCTTTGCTTTCCCCCCCGGATCTAACCCCAGTACCGGGGTTTGCCGCTAAATCACAGTGGGTTGTAACCTAAGTTGTATGCAGAAAAGGTCCGTTGAAATTAATGGACCCGGGTTACCCATGTTTTAAAATGGATCAGCCCTTGAGAAGGACCAACACCCCATGGTGCTTACTCATTAAAAAAAAGCATGCGTAGCATTTGCAGCCTTATTCTGACCTTCTCGAGTAAGGATGCTTTTCTCTAGTTGCCTAAGGTGGTATTTTAACTCCCGCATGCCTTAGAGTGAGTGCAGAGAAGGCAAGACTTCCTTGGGAGCACAGTCTACCATGAGGCGTTTCTCTAGGGTGACCTTGGCTATTGCAGCAGCAGCTCTGTGCAGGCCAAATATTTCACGCTTGCGGGCGTAGGAACAAATACTAAGAGATTCCATCAGTGTGGTTGCCTGCACCTATTGTTGCTTTTGTGACAATACTGGGGTGGTTTTTGGAAGAGGCATAACTAAAGAACCATAGCATATCATTTTTTTTTATCTGGAAGCAAGTTTCACCTTCATACTGGTTTGGTGGGGAATGAATAATTGCAGCTTGTGATCAGTATTTCTCAGAATAACAATAAATAGTACTAAATGAAAACATTGTTAAATAGGCACAGAAGTTGTAGAGAAACTGTTTCACATAGGTAAGGTTGTCTGAACCATAACAGGTTAGGAAGCTGTCCAGTAGTCTCAGTACTGCTGCCACACCAGAAATAGGTTCTTTATCTATGGTGTTCTGTACAGGGGTCCACAAATTGGCTGCTAACAGCAGGTATTCATTTGTTTAGTAGCCATGCTTCAGGTGGAGGTTCCAAATCTTGATGTGAAATGAGATTGCTCCCCATTTTTCTGAGACATGAAAATTTAGAAGGGGAGGAGTCATTACTAACTGCTCAACCCATGGGCTTTTTTACAGATGTAATGTAATTTCCATTTACTGGAAGAAGGAAATGACTGAGCAGTTAATGGAAATTTAAGTAACCAGCTTAAGTTGTTGCTTTATTTCAATTCTGCATGCCTGCTGGAAATACTTTTAGATAAAACAGCTAGGGGGCAACCATTTATTTCAGTTTAACATGTTCTCTCTGTATCATAAAGTAGTACAAACCTGTGTCTAACCTGTAGCAGCTTTCCCTTGACATTTGTTGCCATCATGTACAAACATGTCCACAAGCAGATGGTTCAGAGGGGAGAAGCTTTGGCATGCAAAATAGGGTGCCGTAGCCCTTTTATTTGGCTATAATTTATTTGAAATGTCTGTAGCTGAGTCATCTTACATTGCCAAGGCCAGTTGGAACACATGCAGTTGGTGCAAATTTTTTCAACCAGGAGATGACTTAAACTAGAAATGCTCGTATATGGAATCAGCTTAGCTTTTCAGGGAACAGAATTAATGGCAGTAGCTTTATATATGTTTATAATTGTTTTATTCAAATATGTCTATAGATGTTTAATCAGACATATTAAGAACTCCGCTTTTCCATGGTGCTGTTGGCTTGCTGCAGTATTCTGTGACTTCTAGCACGTAGGATTTGAATGAGACTGTAGTAACAGCCTATCACCACTACTGTGTCTGTGCGCAAGAAAGCTTCAGGCAAATGATGCAGCCAATGAGGGCCCAACCAATGTGTCTAAATTTAGGAGGCTGAGGGCTTACACTTTTGACTGGGAATAAATTCATTCATTTCACTTGGTCAGCAAAGTAGTCTTATGAAGGACTATTAAAGCAGCACATCCTAGTGAAGTTGTTTTAAAAATTACGTTGGAAGTTGATAGATTAGATGAAGGCATATTTTAGATAAAGACATATTTTAGTGAATAGTGCATGTGTTCTTAAAATAGTGATGATCCACCTTTTTGCAAAAAGAATAGCATGGGGCTAAAATGTTTAAAACCACTTGCCCTGGGATATCCCAGTCTTATCTGTTCTCACTAACAGCTCACAATATACTTAGGTTTAAAGCTTATCACATAAATAAGCCTTTCTTTGTTAATGAGGTTATATTAGATTATATTGCCCTGCCTGTTTTTTCATCTGTTCTGTTTTGTGTTGAGGGCCCATGTGATCCTCCATTTAAAACTGATCTGCACTAAATTGAAATCCATCACCTTAAGAGTTGTAGGCTACAGATAACCTGGTTGGATCAGAGTATTTAAAATGATATTTGGGGTAACTTGAAGTGTGCGTTTAGTGTTTTGGCACTGGTACATTTCCAAAAACTATTGGAATATGCTAACACAGTCAGGCTACTGTCTTGTACAGATTATAGGGAAGCATTTATATACTGCTTATTCCACTAAGTTTTTGGTAGATAAAATGTGATAAGAATTTAAGAATTAGATTCTCTAAATTAGGTGATAGACATGATGGGGGGTCACCTCAGTCTGCAATAATGAAGAGTGCTTAAAAGCCCTATTATGAGTTGGGGTGACATATAACTCTGGAGTGGCATATAATTTTTTGAGGTCTAGGCAAATCCCAATACGTAGCTGTCAAATTTCTTGGATACATTGATTTGATTATCCTGTTCACTTTAAAACAATAGTCTCCTGCTACTTGGCAAGAAAAGAAAATGTGGATTCAGGAGATTACTGTTAAAGTCTTTATTGTTTTTATAACGTTACCTTATGTCTAATTGTAACATACATTGTAATTGATAGGCAGCATGTTACATTCCTTGTACAAATGACTGCTTTAATGTCTGGATTTAGTAAACATACTGTACTAGGACCACCTTCCTAATTTTCAGAGTGATGCTTGTTCTACCCTCAAATATTATATAATGGTTTTGTAGTTAGGCCAGCATAATATGTTTACTAATGTATGGGAAGGTGCAAACTTTTATATTTCTTTATTGAAAAATTAAAAGTATAAAATTAAAAGGGCACAAGGTAAAATAAGATGTGTAAAGGAAAAAAAATATGTAAAAAACAATTCATTAGTTTTGTGTTATGTATTGAAAAAGTGGAGCAGTACCAAGTTTCTTAATACTGTTTTCCATTGCAGTGTTGTGCCAAAGTTTTTTGAAGCCCAATGTAAACTGTCTTTAGGGACCCACAAAGAGATGTCATTGGAGTAGGGGGTGGCCTCCCCAGAAACAAGATGATAGTTTCTGGATGATAGTTTACCCCGTAAGAAAAATGCTAAGCTAGACTAATTTAGTAAAGAGTTGGGGCAAGCTTAAGCTGAAAGAGTGCCATTTTAAATAGATATTTGCAAAAGGTTGTATAAATATGAACCTGGTTGCATAAGAATCTTCCTGTGCTGGGAAGACATTGGTCTGCATCACTGCAGCAGCTATTTCCTGTCTGTCTGTCTCTCCCCCACCCCCCAGCATACTTCTGTTAATTTGAAAGTGAGTCAGCATCTTCACTGAGGCTAGAGCTTGTATTTCCTCTGAGAATTGGCTTATTCAAAGGGAAGGTAAGGGATGAGAAGGGAGAATGATGCTTGCAATAAGCTGAATCTGAATCGGATGAGTTAAAGCTCTTGACTACGAGGGAAGCTGCACGTACTACAGAGATCCTAACCAGAAAGGGTGGAGCTAATACACATAGCCTAAAGCTGCTGGGAATAACTATACAACAAAAAGGGGAAAAGGTTTTACTCTTTGAGAGTAATTAGTATAAATCAGAAGTGCTTGCATTGTAGCTTGTTGAGCACAATATTGAGAACACATTGCTAGTGACAACCATTTGTTCCAGGGATAGCATGTGAAGCCAACATCTTGTATAGTCAAAACACATTGAGTTCAGTGGTAGGTCTTTTTTCCTGGATGTCTGTCTTTTTTTTTTAGCTAGCTAGCTATGCGCACAAGTTAAATGTGTGTAAGTTGCAAGTTACTTATATAGGCTGGCTGCCAAAGTGCAGTATTAAGTGCAAGTCTATTTAGTTCAGGTTTACTGGGTTAGTTTTAAACTTCTATTTAGATTAATCCATTATATGTTTGGCAGTTCCTAAACATTAGTTAAATAAGCGTATGCAATAATGTGCCCCTTTTATGAGAATAAGGAGCAGCAAACACTCAAGTTGCTCCCTCCTTGGTTGAGCACGCATTAATGCAATGCTGTGCATATGTGCGGTTTATATACACTCAAAACTGCATAGGAGTAAGTCGATTTGCTGGCTGGGACAGACCTCAGACTGTTCCTTCATGGCAGTCTGTCTCTTTTGCCAATCTGAGCATGGGCTGAAATCTTTCCCTTGGAGTTAATCAATTTGCAATGAAGGGCTTCAAGCTATCATGTAGGAATCTCTTCTGCATGGCTACATCCCAGGAATGTATTAAATGGGAAACATGTTCAGTTGATTGCTGCAAGGTCAAGCAGATGTATTTCCTTTATTTCTTTTTTTTAGATACCAAATCTCAGCAGCCATGTCAAAACAACACGATGCTTTCATCCAGACCCAGCAGTTGCATGCTGCCATGGCAGACACATTCCTGGAACACTTGTGCCGTCTGGACATTGACTCTCCCCCAATCACTGCAAGAAACACTGGCATTATCTGCACAATTGGTAAGTGGAGTTCAATCACAAATTTAACATAAAATTTGAACACTATTTGCTCTGCCATCTTACGGTTTTTACTAGCCTACTCTACACGCAAAGCGTGATTTAGTGTGTCTGTGAGCGCCGAAACCCGGAAGTAACCCGTTCTGGTACTTCCGGGTGCGGTTTGCAACCCGAAATTGCATAACCTGCAGTGTCTGTAACCCGAGGTACCACTGTACAAATAGATCTTCATATTAGTTGTTTTTATTATATTTTGTACATAATCTCAAGATATGTATGGAAGGCAAGTAACAACAACCACAATAACCGCTGCTATAAAAACGAGCATATTTTCCGATAGATAATTTATGTGTATTTCTTCTAGCAGTATTAGTGAGAAGTGAAAAAGTAATGAATGTAGCTAGCAAACTAGAAGATGGGAGTTAGTCAGGTACTTGGCTGTGTTTGAACAGCCTCACCTTTGCCCTGCACAAGATTAAGGAAGTAAAACCCTGTATGCTGTGGACAACTTACTCATTACATTTATATCCCACTCTTCCTCCCAAAGGAGCCAAGGGGAGCAAAGAACAAATAATAAACATTTTATGGCTGTTATGAATATTTTAATAGTTAGTTGAGAGGCTTTCTCAATAAACTTGTTCATTTTGGCTTATGTGCCCCTCTTCATGTTATACCAGCTAGAAGGCTAAACATAGGGTTTTAAAAATGTTTTTAAGACTTAAATGTGCATTTCTAGCTTATTGTGTTTAATAATAGCTTAAACAGTTATTTTGCAGACAAGAAGACAAAGGCGTAAAGTAGTAGAATAGTCGTCTTAAGTAGCTCTGGACAGTTATCTGGACTTTAATACTCTGTTAGCAATGATTTCAGTGGATCTGCTCTAAGTATGACTTAGTTGAATACCACCCGTAGACTTGTAACTATTAACTGGCATATGCTAAAGAAACTTCATTTTCAAATCTCTAGGCCCGGCTTCTCGGTCAGTGGAAATGCTAAAAGAAATGATTAAATCTGGAATGAATGTTGCTCGTCTCAACTTCTCTCATGGAACCCATGAGGTAAGAGCAGATTTGAGGGCAAATATTACACTCACTTGAGAAAGAACTGTTCTCATTAGATCAATCCTATGTTTTACCTTGGGGCTAAAGACTTGAGGCCTCATTTATCCAGTCTGCTGTTAAAAAACACACACACTTTAAACCAAGCAGTCCAACAAATATGGATGCTAAGAGGTTTGTATATATAAAAGTGCTACTGAGTCCTTGTTAAAAGGCTGGTAAAATACATTTTCTTGTTGGTCTTCTACTTTCAGATAAATGTGGTAGTCCAAACCTTAAATGAACAGTTAAAACTGCATGTAGCTGGAAAGCAAAATGATGAAATGAGTTAACCAAATAATTTCTCCAAGAAGATCGTGGCCATCTTGAATACGGAACTGTGTCCATGCAGCCACTGTGCAGACTTTGGAGACAGAGCAAATGTCAGAGGCTGTGGATCTCAAAAAAAGATGCCTGTTACAAGTACAGCGTGTCCATTTCAGTATTCACTGAAAGTTCACCTGTTAAAGGTCACTCCTCTGTTACCAGATACTGCTGATGCATGCCTGACTTCCAAACAAGATCTTGAAACATGTTCACCCTTGTAGCCACAAACATCTCCTCCTGTTAGGAGTAGTTAAATGAAACTGCTATGGTCTGGTTCATGGGGTCTGCTCAGGTACAGTGTCATTTGAAGCTGCTGCTCCTTTATTAAGGTTATAGCAGTACCTATATTAAGAAAATTTAACCGGCATTACTTTTTAGTATCTGTTCTAGTTATTTCCCTGCAAAATTATGAGATCTGCAGGGAGCCAGTTAGATATGACTGAAATGGAGTTGCCAGTCGGGTAAGATACAGCACGTCTGCAAGGCTTGCAAAGTAAGATTTGGGAATAGAATTATGTTGATAGGATTTTGGCACTTTAAAAGCAGAGTGCTTGCAAGTAACTTGTAGTAGAAGGCAACCCCCCTTCTATAAATAAAGCAGCCTTCTCACTATTGCTACAGGATGGGAGGCTCTCAGGCTCCCATTCCCAACTGCAACTTTCCTTAAAGGCCACCTGAATGCCTTTGGGCTGGCTGCTGTTAACTCTTTGAAAGGTCAAGCTGCAATCTGGGCAGCAGCTTGCAAAGTTATGTTAGCTAAGAAAGTGTTTTGGCCTCTTCTATTGGTCTTCTCTTTAAAAGGCATCATGCTGAATGTGCATATAATACATCAACACTCCTAGACTGTTTTATTTTAGAAACTACTGTATGTGATGAATTACAAGTGATCATTTTTACGCGCGCACACACTACTGCAGTATGTGCACATAAGTCTTATTGGTGGTGGTATTATTAAATTTCTATACCAGTCTTCATTTTAAAATAAAATGGGTATGCTTTTAACAGGCAGTGGAAGCTCACCACAGTAGGTGTGTGCCATATCTTAAGTGGGAGAACCATTTCACAAAGTGGGCCACTTTGGAGAAGGCTGCCTTGCACCTCAAAATTCTGCAAGACTGACCCAATAGGTTCGCTTCTCAAGTTCTTTGGGAATGAGCAGGTCTATATGGGAGAAGGTGTTCTTTCAGATTGCCTGGTCTTAAGTAGTTTAGGGTTTTATGAATTAATGACAAAACCTTTGACTTTGCTTGCTAGTAGGGTGATGGTCAGTGCAATCTCTAGCGCAGGTGTTATATTTGCATGGTAGGATGCTTCATTTGGTAATCTAGCTGCTGCAGTTTGTATCATGCAGCTTCCATACCAGCCTTGAAGGCAGCCCCACCTTGGAGTGTATTGCAATAGTCCAGTCTCGAGGGTATCAGTGCATGTGTCACTGTAACTAGGCTATCCTGTTCCAGCAACAGTTGCCACATGACCTAAAGCTGCAAAAAAGTACTGCTAACCACTGAGGCCACTTAGATCTCCAATAATAAAAGTGGAGGAAGGAATTCCCTCATCTGAGCACCTATTAACAGAAATAAGGCTGGCTATCATCAGCATATTGATGGTACCATGCTCCAAATCCCCTACCCTGTTCCCACTTGCATTATATAGATATTAAAGAATGTTGGGGACAAGATGGTTCACTGTGCAGCCCACAGGACTACTGTCTGGGAGTCAGAAACAATCACCAAATGCTCTCTTGACACCAGCCCTTCAGCTAACATGGTGCCTCTCAAGCAATGGAGACTGTTGTGGAGGATGCCATGGTTGATGGTATCAAAAGCTGCTGTGAGAAGCAAGCAAGAGTAGCAGATCTCACTCCCTTTCATGAAAGGCACCCATCTGGCAACAGAGTGAGATTTAGTCCCCAAACCTGATCTGAACTCAGAGTGTAATGGGTCTAAATAATCAGCATCCTCCAAGACCATATGTAGCTGAACTGCAACTAGTCTCTTGAACTCTTTGCTTCCAAAGAGCTACTCGGCAGTAGTAGCTGAAAACTGGGTTCAGGAGCAAACACATTGTCTTCTTACTAAAGTTTCACCTGGGATCCTAATGTCCCACTGTTAATGCAATTACAGTACTTAATTTCTGAACCTGTGTTAATGCTGATTAGTTAAACTGCTGTTCTGTATGGTGATCAAATGAGCTAGTTAGCCACTTCTCCTGTTTTTTCCTGCAGAAACTTAATATATGGCATGGTACATTGCTGCTTTCTTCTTTTAATAGCTGTAACAGTAAAAGTTTACATAACCTTGATTGCAAACTTTGCCTGTCTTCTATTGCTGTTTGATCAAGATAAGCAAACAGTTTTCATAGGCTAATCTGTGAAGTGAAACCTATCTGTTAGTGAGGATTCAGCTAATCTGACTTTGACTTGAGGTGAAGGCTCTTTCCAGCAGAGCTCTGTGGAACTGATAATTCTGGTGCTAGATGAAGATGAGAGCTTGGTTACCACCTAACTTCAATCAATCAGTCAGATCTTTATTACAGTCATAGACCAGCATACACCTAACTTCATTTGCAGTTGGCTGTATCTGTCTGATACATTGCTGTCATTGAGCAATGGATGAAACAGAGTTTGTAACTCACAACTTGCATTTTAACTTGAGTGCATTCAGCTTTAAGCACTTAGCAACTTAAGGGTAAAAAATGGAAAGGGGGAGAGACTTTGTCAGTCCCACCTGCCTTTAAATCCAATGTGTTTTGACTATACAGTTTTGGTTTATGCACTATCCCTGGAATGTAACACTTGTAAAAGTTGAGACTCTCCTATATTGTGTTAAGTTTTCAAAATAAAATGTGGAAGTCTTAGGCCATATTTGCCTGTGCTATAAACCATTCTTCATCATATTTGACAAGATGGCAGTAAAAGTTATAGGATGTATTAATAATGAATATATATAATTGTCCAGCTTCTAGACAGAGCCCAGGCAAAACAAATTGTAGTGTCCATTGCATCTAGTTAGCCAGACCTAAGGCAGCCAGCTCTGTGTCAAGGTAAGTGATTATTTCTGTTCTGTAACCCTTGTATCTTCTGTATTAGTACCATGCAGGAACAATCAAGAACGTTCGAGAAGCTACTGAGAGCTTTGCTTCTGATCCTATTTCGTACAGACCTGTTGCTGTTGCACTGGATACTAAGGGACCTGAAATTCGCACTGGACTCATCAAGGGGGTAAGTGTGTCACACTGTTTTGTTCTTTGTCTTATTACTCGTTGTAACAGGTAAGATCACTCCCTTCCAATAAACATCAGTAATAGCCTCCCAGATGACAATGCTGCAGTTTCTTATAGTATTGTGCAGTCTGCTGCTCCATGCAAGGATCTGTAGTCAGGGGTACCAGTCAAACACTGGTAGTCAAAGGAGAATAGAACAGTTCATTTCTGACCCATCTAAAACCATAACACAACTGTATTTAGAACACAAAGTTGTTCATTCTAAATCAGGACAGGTTGTAGTCTTCCCCACAAATCCAACAAGAGTCATCTGCCAGAGGGCATTCAATCTACCTAAGTCTTGGTGGAAGAAGGGAAACTTAATTGAGGATCGTTGTCTGCCCTTTAGCTTCATGCTTCCGCTTCCGGATGTACAATGCCTGGTTTCAGTACTTGTTCTGAGATTATCGTTGAAAATTGAGGGAATTATAGGGTAATCCTAGTAGGGTTAGCCTTTCTGCTGCACTTGTTGCATTTAGACTGTGGCAGCAGTCAGGATGGCTTAATTCTGAGGGAAGGGGATATCCTCTGGCAATGCCAGTAACAGTTGTTTGTCCTTCCAGAGTGGTACAGCAGAAGTGGAGCTTAAGAAAGGTGCAACTTTGAAAATGACCCTGGACAATGCCTTTATGGAGAAAGTGCGATGAGAACACACTTTGGGTGGACTACAAAAATCTCACCAAAGTTGTTGATGTTGGCAGCAAGATCTATGTGGATGATGGACTCATTTCCCTGAAAGTTAAGGAGAAAGGTGTGTTTGGAAGGCATTCCTGTTATTGTGGGCATACTTTAAATAGGAATACATATTTATGTGGTGATGCTACTTGCTATAACAGTGTGGTATTTAGAAACTGCATAAACGTAATTGCTTTCAGCATATTAGAAACTGATACGAAGAAACCAGGTGTCTGCAACTTGATAGATTAGGAAAGAAATTGGGGGTAATTATTGTGGACACAAGGGGATAATTATTGTGGAAATGAGCTTATTTTGAGTTATAATGCTGATTCTTGGAACTCTGTGCAGGTGCTGATTTTGTCATCACTGAAGTTGAAAATGGTGGGCTGCTAGGCAGCAAGAAAGGTGTAAATCTGCCAGGTGCTGCAGTAGACCTTCCTGCTGTTTCTGAGAAGGACATCCAGGATCTAAAATTTGGTGTGGAGCAGGATGTAGACATGGTGTTTGCTTCCTTCATCCGAAAGGCAGCTGATGTTCATGCTGTCAGGAAGGTGCTGGGAGAAAAGGGAAAGAATATCAAGATCATTAGCAAGATAGAAAACCATGAGGGTGTACGTAGGTAAGTTGGTTATTAAATTTGTAACAACCCATTTTGACTCATGACTTTTCTTGAGTAGATATGTTTCTTGAAAAGTGAGCTGTATGCCAGGTTGAACCACCTAAAATGGGTCAGTAGCGTTGTACTTGCTGTCAAATGTTGACAGTATGCTGTGAAGGATGCAGATTGTGAAATTCAGTGCTTAGAAGCATCCTCCTTGTGTGGTCTAATACAAGGTGGCAGGTCCTTCTCCAGAAGTGGGCTTGTCAGTGACTTATTTCTCTTGATATCTGGGACAATGTGTGGTTTTGGTGTGCTACAGTATTCTGGAAACTCCATATAAGGTAGATAGGCAATTTGACTCTGACCCCTTACACATCCACATTCAGTATCACTTTCACAAGAAATAATTTTGTCTTCTGTGCATTCCAGGTTTGATGAGATCATGGAAGCTAGTGATGGCATCATGGTAGCCCGTGGTGATCTTGGTATTGAGATTCCTGCTGAAAAAGTCTTCCTCGCCCAGAAAATGATGATTGGTCGATGCAACAGGGCTGGCAAGCCAATCATCTGTGCTACTCAGGTACTCGAATAAAAGTTGACTCTGAAGGCCTGTCCTTCCTACACATATGGGCTATGTGAAACCTGAATTATTTTATGCTATTAAATGATACCTTCTGTCGCAATCAGTAAACATGGAAAATGTTAGTCTAAAATGCTGAGGTCGATTCCACATCTCTGATTGGATCAAACACTGTTTGAAGAAAGCTTCTTGAAAACCTTAATCAGAATTCTTACGGGTACTGCAACAGTCTAGTTGTAAAAATGGTTTAAAAATGGAGGCTATAGCTATAATAATAATTGGAGTAGTTATAAGTACTAAATAAATTGCATAGTGCACCATTGTTTTCCCCTGCTGGTTTTGAACAAGTTAGTTGAAAAAAACTTAAATGTGTGGATTAGGAAACATAACACATCATTTTGACAAGTCTTTGAGCTAGCAAAATCGAGATTTGATAGGTTTGCATTTTTGTTACAGAACATTCTGTGATTAAACATCATAGAAATTGTTCTTTTATAGAGTGTATATGAATACTATGAAATAATGTGAGTTTGGATACCGAAATAATGGCAAGCAAGAAAGCATGTTCCTGTGGTGCTTTCATTGGAAGCAAGTCTCAAGGAGTTTGTTTCATTGTGCAAATAAGATTGCAGTTACTTTTAATTTCTTAACATGTCTTTAACCTGGATTTTATAATGCCGGCATGGTTACCAAGGATTCTGCCTTGATGAACCGTACAGAAACAAAGCATTTCAAGTTTTATGCAAATAAGATGATTGTCTTGCAGTGAAACCTGTTAACTTCACCTTGTCTCATTAGATGTTGGAGAGCATGATTAAGAAACCACGGCCAACACGTGCAGAAGGGAGTGATGTAGCTAACGCTGTCCTGGATGGAGCTGACTGTATCATGCTTTCTGGAGAGACTGCCAAAGGAGACTACCCTCTGGAGGCTGTCCGCATGCAGCATCTTGTAAGTGATAACCATTCAATGTTAAAAGACAGTACCTGTATATCTAGAAATATTAGCACAGCTTATGCCCTGTTACCCAATTTCCCATCTGCTCAAATACCATCCAGGTCTGCTGGTGGATAGCTTAATGCTATCCACGTGGCTGTTTTCTCACTATAGCTTGCTATATGCCATAGGTCCCTCAGGCTGCCATAGACTTCTTTAATGGCAGTGAAACACAAAGTGCTTTCTTGCACTGGCTGCAAGTATAAAACTTTTATGCAAAGGCAAGTGGAACAAATTCTGAACTGTAGTGATTAGTTTTGACAGCCTTAAGTGTCTGAAATTGTCCAACTTAGTGTATATTATATTTTGAGACAAATTCAGATACTGTATCTGGGATTCCAATTATTGAATTGTATTATTTTGATGAATTTGTTGTTTGATTTATTTATATGCTGCTGTGTTAGATATTATAGTGATTGCAATGCTTGTTTTTTTTAATGCTACTGTGATTGTTGTGAGCTGCTTTGAGTTCAACATTTGTTGTTGGAAAAGCAGAATGCAAATATTAAATCAAAGCCGAGACAAATCAGGAGTGGGCCTGGAGTATGTTCTCCGTTTCACTCCTCATAGGTAAGAGAACTTGTGAATTGGGGACCAGTCTATATTTTAAGTTCTGTAAGTGGCATGGGGGAAAGAGTGTGAGCCCAAGGCCCACTCCCAATCTCATCCTGGAGGGAAAAGAACATCTGATTCACACTCTGTAGTTCACTTTTGGGGTTGGCACAGTTGTTTTATGCACAACGGTTGTGCCCTTGGAACAGCGTTTATTTTATTTTTTTAAGTGCATGACTGACACTTTACATGTTTAAACTGCCAGAAAACTCTCTGCTCTGCTTTTGGAATTCTCCAGTTTCTCATTGACAACATGGCACTTCGTGCCAGAATTAAAGTACTGATTGTGTTGACGGTCTGCTGTGAATTACAGCCTTGATAACCTACTAGTCTGAGAGCTGCAGTTCAGGTTAGCTAGCTTACTCCGAACAGCTCTCACATAATAGTATGCTAACTACCTCTTTGCTTGGACTCATCCTTATGTAACCTGGTCCATACTGTCAAGCAGTTGAGGGAACCAGTTCCTGTGAGCTGGTGGCAGATAAGCATGGTTGTGTTGTAATGCAGCCTGATTTCTAGCCATTTTGAACTCCCTTTCATTGAAAGGGTTGACTTTACTGGCCTTTGGTATCTTGCCATTGTACTCATACCTTGCTATTTGCTTGAAGCATGACTGTCTGAAAAAATGGGGTTTCGTCAGTGCTGTTTAACAGCTACAAAAATTACGTATTAAAGTGTCTTCAAAATGCCTAGATAAACCTTCCTGTGGAGTTCAAATGTTCTTTAATTTTCATAATGGAGCTCATCACCATATTAGTGCATGCAGGATCCCTGGCTGACTGTAGTTCTTGATGCATTCTTCTGAAGTAGCTAAGAAAAATGGGATACCTGGAAGTTGAACCTGGAACATTGAAAAGATCAGAAGTTAAGTTCAAGACCCTGTCCCTGCTACTTGAAAAACTAATACATGCAATTAATAGATGTAAAGAATGCCTTACTTTTAAGAGCACATGCATATAATTCTACAACTTAACCCCCTCCCAATTATAAGCTAGATTTTAAACGTCATTTGATAAATGTACAACAAGGTTGTAAGAGTGTTCCATGCAAGATTCAGCCAGTACACGCTGAAATGGATTTACTATTGGGTCGTTCTTGGCCTTCTCAAAGTAGTTTTGCCTTTTTATGTTACCCTAATGACATTCTTAAGTATTCTGGGGGATTTTAAATCAAAGTTTAGTGCAAACAAAATTCTTCCTTGATTCCCATTATGTTAGACATATAAATGTTGACATAGATGCCCTTCTGGGGAAAAAATAAGCGATACTTTAAATAGGAAATAAGAGGAGGGGGAAGAAAGATCAGTCAGCTTTGTGTTGTGCAAAGCATCTACCATAACTTAACATAACTGCTAACCCAGAATCTTGTTCAAGACGTGTTGCTCTTTGTTTTTAGTGCTTGGTATGTGTCTGAGATATAGTTCTTACAGATGGGGTTGTAAACCTGTTCCTGGACTGTACCTAGAACAATTTTCACCAACATGCCAGTTTTCTACGTGGGATGAATTTTTCTTCCGTATGGAGGAGCATTCAATCATGTGAGCCTCCATCTGCTGAAGACCTGGGTTTACCATTTCATCTATGAAAACCAGGGCTTACTGTTGTGCCACACTGCATAAGATCCCAAGTAACATGCTGCAGCTATGCAACACTGAGTATTCTGTTGATTCTGGTCATCTAAATAATGATGGGTTCTCTGGCTTTGTACTTTCTTTCACGTTCACCTACTGCTCTTCTACAAAATATGCCTAATACTGCCTAATGGGATTGAATGGGAATAAACTGCACTTCTTGCACAGGTGGTCCTAGGAAAGTATCCTTAATACACCATGCTCTTAACTCCATCTGATCTTATCTAGACTGTCTAGATGCAATAATTCTTGCATAGACCTGTCTGCATGCTTTAAAAATGTTATGCAAGTCTCTGGCTGGTAAGGACACATGTAGCACCCTCTATTGAAATATGATGGCATAAACCAGTATATGCTGGTAGAAAGCACATTGAATTCAGTGGTATTCCTGAGTAAGTGTACATAAGATTGTACACTCAGTTTTCAGTCCCAAGAAGAAAGTTCCATCTGAACCCACTGTGGAGCATATAAGCCAATAACCTGGACATTAGCAATTATCCTACATGTTGCCTGCCAGCTAACACTATTACTCGATTATACATGAGACTTGTATTGCCAAATGTGAGAGATTTTATTTCTAATTCAAGGTTAGGGTGGTGCAGTAAAAGAATGAACCTGTCTGGAGTCAAACCATAGAAGTGCCTTAATAGAGGCATAAGCTACCAAAAACTGAGGATTATAAACTTTGACCCAATTAATTGATGTAGTGATTCTGCTTCTATAATCTTAACAGTGCTCAGACCTGCAGAAGCAGAACTTTGAAGTCATGGTCTTAACAGTCGGGGGCTTCTGTCTTCTTTCTCTGCTTGACAGAATAAAGAAACATGTTTAAATTATGAGGCAGGATGCTTAAGGGCTTTTCCCTGATGACCACTAATCTGTGGTTATCTTACATTAGGCCTGTATCATGTCCAAATTATGGCTCTAGTGATTATTTTAACTTTGAAAACCAGGTAGTTGCACCACCCTGCCTTTAATCTTGCATGACTGACAAATAAGCAATTAACTCTCCTTGCAGATTAACTTTTATCATATCACTCTGGTGAATTTCTTTCCTTTCTATGTTGCTCCTCTTTTCTTCCCTCCCTCTTACTCTGGCCTACAGATTGCTCGCGAGGCTGAGGCTGCAATCTATCACCGCCAGCTGTTTGAAGAACTTTTCCGCCTCACTGCTAACAACAGGGACCCTCTTGATGCCATGGCTGTAGGCGCTGTGGAGGCCTCTTTTAAGTGCTTAGCTCCAGCTGTGATAGTTTTGACAGAGTCTGGCAGGTAGGGTTCAGAGTTAGGTACACATCTAGGATATGTAAGGTAACTCATAATTCATTCTTCAGTGGCTAGAGGTTTTAAAAGCAAGCAGCTGCTTCAAACCTATATATGATAAAACCTGTTCCTCATACGGCATTCTTCCAAAACCAAACCATCAGTCTGCCTTCATCTTTCTATCAAAGCAGGATTTGAGGTAGGTAGAAGCAGAGCAAGAGTGACTGGCAGTTGCGCATGGATGAGTGTAACGATTTTGGCAGAATGGAGTGGGGGCGACATGGCAGATGTTGTCTTCAGAAGGGAAACGTGTGTGCCCAGTGGGTGCAGTCCAAATAGCATGTGCTAATTTTGCTTTTGTTGATGGTGCGCAAACAGTATTCTTGGCTGAAGTTCCCCATCAATCGCATTACTTAGATGCTCATTTGGGTTTGCTGCTATAAGCACTCTGCCAAGTCCAGACCCCACCTTCACTCATGCCGCTAGTGATGACAGATGTGAATGTTGTCTTCCGAACGCGTGTTGCTCTTATAGATTGCTCGCGAAGCAGAGGCAGCCATCTTTCACAGGCAATTGTTTGAAGAGCTCCGACGGCTGGCCCCGCTGAATCGGGATCCCACTGAAGCTGCCGCTGTTGGCGCTGTTGAAGCTTCCTTCAAGTGTTGCAGTGGGGCTATTATCGTACTCACCAAGTCTGGAAGGTAGGAGGTGGAAGGTTCTGGCAGAAGTCGCATGGACTTCACGTGTCTAAGTAACACACAACATGAACATCTGTCTCAATCAAATACTGTATTTTTCATTGTCTGTGTGGAGGAGTGTCTGTTACATTGCTACTTACTTGGATTTACCCGGACCTGAGTAGTTAATTGCACATTAAACTTTTTTATATTGTCTTTCCAAAGGAAGTCTCAAGATAACTTAAAGCAATTAATTTAAAATAACTTTAAAAGCAACACCCAGATTCACTCCACTGCGAGAGCAGTTAATACTGAAACAAGATTGTAAAAACAAGAACAAAATCAAAGTGCAAACCTCAAATTATATGTAAAACCAACCAACCAACCTGTAAGTTGTGGGCTTACTGTACTAGAATTTCTCTGGCACAAAGGAAAAAAGGGTGGGAAAATATATGTATGCCCCATTAATGTGGGGTTGGCACTAATTCTATATTTTTGACACATCTTGAATCGGTTGTCAACGTGCAGATCAAAGGCTTTGTGCAATACTAAGTAGCTTCTGTTTTGCCTTTAAATATAAGGTTCCTCAGTGCCTGGCTGCCTGAATGTTTTGTAACTGAACCAGACAGCATGAGACTTTCACTTGAGTTCAGTTTTGTTTACAGTGGTACCTCGCAAGACGAATGCCTCGCAAGACAAAAAACTCGCTAGACGAAAGGTTTTTCCGTTTTCGATTTGCCTCGCAAGACTAATTTCCCCTATGGGCTTGCTTCGCAAGACGAAAACGTCTCGCGACTTTGTTTTCTTTGTCTAAAAACAAAGACATGTTTTGTTTATAAAGTTATTATTTTCCCTTCAATTTTTGAACTGCTCTTTACAGTATGTGTGACTTTAAAGAGCAGTTAATAAACTGTTGTTGTACCAAATTCGGCTTTGTTTGGACTTTTTTTGACCATAGGAACGCATTAATTGATTTTCAATGCATTCCTATGGGATTTCGTGCTTCGCAAGACGAAAAATTCGCTAGACGACAAAAATTGCGGAACGAATTAATTTCGTCTTGCGGGGCACCACTGTATCAACATACTGGAATTATATTGTAAATGTACGTGGCCATTTATCAGACCAGTAATATCTACATTAATTGAAGCTAGGATCAGTGCAGAGTTCTTATGCCAAATTATGTAAGGAGTAACAACTGCACAGAAACACCAGGTTGCTCAAGGAAGACATTTAGTTCTCGTAATTATAGGGTGTGAAAAGGGAAACAAAGTGCACACTGTGATAGGTCATTGTAGATGGTGCTGCAGTGATATTTCTGCACAGATTCTCCTTGAAATTGGGTGGAGGTTTTAAGCCATGGTGCAGACATGCTCTGAGCTGTACCCTTAATATTATTACTTGTTTGTAAAGGGTTCTTCCGAGCCTCATGCCTGACCTTTCTGAAGAAATCTGAACTTGAAACAAAATCCAGAGCTAAATTAGACTTTCCTTCTAACAGTACTGCTTAGGTAGGTCTCCTTGAGCAACTTAAAGGTTTCTGATACTGTAAGTTTGCATTTGTGAATATCAAATAGTTTGTAAAGCAACAAACTGAAAAAGGTCTAAGACAGTTTTTCTGTTTAGATTTATTAGTCATGGTGCAGCAATGGGAATATGGGGCCTGCTGAAACCATAATGTACACATCTTAAATCTTGGGATACAACCTTTTGGTAGCTTTCTAAAGAAAAGTAAAAGCAATAGTACTTACTCCATTTCTGAGTAGTGTGGTTTAGTTACATTTGTTCCCTATTTCAAGCATTTACTACATGGTCCCTGTTATGTTCAAAATGATGATCCCTTAGCACACTGAGCTCTTAGAAGAACTGAGAAAATTTACAAAGTATCTTCTTCACTGCTGCTTTTGTCACTCAGGAGGGAGCAAACAGCACAATTTTTTTTGCTAAAATGCCTGGAGAATTGAATGAGCTTCCCGTTTGCTACTCACTTAACGAGTTTGTTTACTGTGCTGAAAATGCAAAGGCATCCGTCCTTTTATTATAACGGCATTTGTCAGGAGGCTACAGTGCTAGATTATACTTGTTAAATATTGTCTGGGGGTATTTCCATATATCCAGAACTTGAGGAGTATAATACCATATAATCTGGAGACTAGTGCGATGTAGACATCAAAAGTTAGTATATTAAGTCTCTGCTTGTAAGCTGCCTTGACTCCTTTGTACCCTGGATTCATTGTACACACTGAAATAGCATATCCCAGTGACCTTGATGAGATGACAGTTGAACCTGCCACATGTTCTCCTTTGTAGATCTGCTCACCTGGTGTCAAGGTACCGCCCACGTGCTCCCATCATTGCTGTGACCCGTAATGCTCAGGCCGCACGCCAGGCCCATCTGTACCGTGGTATTTTCCCCGTGCTGTGCAAAGAGCCAACCCATGATGCCTGGGCTGAGGATGTTGACCTCAGAGTTAATGTGGGCATGAAAGTTGGTAAGTTAGTAAATGTTGGTATCCTTTGCTCTCTCTGGAAGCTTCAGAAAATCATACAGTAATTTTATCTGGCAAACTGGAAATATCCCAGAGTTTTGAACCAATATTTGACAGTTTGGTGTATTAGAACAATCTTACATGAGATTTTAGGGACGCGGGTGGCGCTGTGGGTTAAATCACAGAGCCTAGGACTTGCCGATTAGAAGGTCGGCGGTTCGAATCCCCGCGACGGGGTGAGCTCCCGTTGTTCGGTCCCTGCTCCTGCCAACCTAGCAGTTCGAAAGCACATCAAAGTGCAAGTAGATAAATATGTACTGATCCCGCGGGAAGGTAAACGGCGTTTCCATGTGCTGCTCTGGTTCGCCAGAAGCGGCTTAGTCATGCTGGCCACATGACCCGGAAGCTGTCTGCGGACAAACGCCGGCTCCCTCGGCCTATAGAGCGAGATGAGCACGCAACCCCCGAGTCGGTCACGACTGGACCTAATGGCCAGCGGTCCCTTTACCTTTACCTTTACATGAGATTTTAGGCTACAGTTGAAGCTATTATAACTTTAACTAGTTTCAGAATAACTTGGTCATTTGGGTTGTTAGGTGTTACCAAAACCATTGCTATGCAGTTCTATAATTTATATGTTTTAAGACCCATTTTCTCACTGCTTTTTCTTTCCAGGTAAAGCCCGTGGATTCTTCAAGACTGGTGATCTAGTCATAGTACTTACTGGATGGCGTCCTGGTTCCGGCTATACCAACACCATGCGTGTTGTGCCAGTTCCATAAAATCAGACCCAGCAATCTCAACCCTCCTTTTGTCTCACCACCTTCCCCTTGCATTAGATCAGCAAATTGCTTGCAATATTGTCCTTGCCTGTAGAGTGGATAGAGGCTGCCCGAAACCACCAAGTGCAGTAATTGGGGGAAGAGAGACTAAGTCTAGAAATACTTGAAATAGTTCTCCGATAATTAGAACCCCTCCCCAAACTGTCCTGCCTTATTTGTTGGGAACCAGCGTAAAATTGTCTAGTGTGGCAACTTGGGCTGCCCAGTGTTTCTTCTTCGGCTCTCGAGTCCAAAGAAACAGGAGGGCTTCATCCAACTAGTAAGGCATTTTATCCAGTGGCAATACCTGCCAAGTCCCTTTTCTGTAGTTCTGTACTGTCAGGTCTCCACACAAACACTCCGGATTAGGATCTACATAGACCGACATAGCTCTCCTTTCTGTAACATCTCTAGTCTTGCTGTGTCCCTGTGGGTATACAGGGGTTTTTGGTACACTGTAACCGGAACTCTACAACACAATCACTTGGATATCTTAACTGTACACTCCAATAGGTAGTGACAGAAAACATCACATGCTTGTCCCTTGAAGTTCCAGAAAACCTGGATTTAAAAATGGATGGCTGTATCTTATTGCCAGCACAGCTAGAGAATAGCAATGGAAATGAGTGTCTACAGGGTTCTTTTGCTCCCAGAGTCTACTCAGGTACAGATTGCTTCAGGTTTGATATAAAAACTAAAAATGGCATATTTTGTGTATGGAACTTTAAAGGGCTGAGCAGTGCAGTAAAAAATTCACCTGATGCACTCCCCACATCTCAAGCTGCTTGTGCGCCTGTTGCAGTGTTGTGTTTTGTGTTCAAGTTGAGTCGTGTTTCCTGAGCACTAACTATCCTCTATAAATCAGGATGATTTACCTACTGTAACAGGTGTATCGGGTTGTAGAGTACAACTTTGTACATCAATAAAGCAGAGCTCACATACCTATCTGTGCATATTCTGTTTTTCTGGTTTAATGGTTCTTTTCAACTTGCCTATCTCCTGATGCCCTGAAACACTGGTGTTTAGAAAAAAATTGCTGCTGTTCTTTCAATCTGGATTATCACCAAGGTCCCTGAGAATCATAGCTTCTTATAAGGCCTCATGACAGATGCACATTACAGCAAAGGTGGCCCTCCACATGTTTGGACAACTCCCCCCATCCTAGGATGGCTATACTGGCCAGGGTTTTGAGTTCAGCATATGAAGGGACACAAGTTGGCTGCTCATGATTAAGTCTGTCCAATCCAATAGAACAATAGGACATTGAAAACAGCTGCAGATGTTTCCAAAACTCTATTGGAGACAAAAATCATTGCACACACTGCTGTGCTTTGATATCCTGTGCAGCATTTTCCAGGAACACATTTAGTCTGCCACATCCTAGAGAGTACTGGCTGTTCAGTGGCCTTTTGCTGCTCCCTTCAAGGGGATCTAAAGCTTTGTACCAAATGTATAATTCTTAGTATTTCCTTAACACAGTTAATTATATTTATATACTACTTCACACAAAAGGCTTGTCAAAACGGTCTGGAAGCCAATGAAAATTGAGTAAGAAATTCATTGAAAGTACAAAATGAATGTATAATTTTTTTCTAGTTGGGCTGGAGTGATAGCAAATGTTTGTGCCCCTGTACAGACATCTCCCCACTAGACACATGGATCAACTCTTGTGTGGTTGTGTATATGTCTGGTGCTGGGAAATAAATTCAAGCCGGGAAATGGTAAGGAGACCCAGGAGACAGAAAAGGACTTCAGTGACAGTGGAGGAAGCCTCAAAGAAGACCACAGAGGCACAGCAGGGCAAGTCTGTGCAGCTAGTGAACTGTGTATTGAATTGCACCTTTAAAACTACTGGGAGAGAATAAAGTTATTGTGCTAATTTTAATACAATCCCTTTGCCACCCATAATACAAGCGTTTTCACATTCAACACATGATCCATGTTAGGACCAAGTGCTTTTGCACTGAATTTGAGAGCTGTTTTTTTCCATACAAATAAGCGTCTTTAAGAACTGGCCTCTGGGAACTTTTTCAATAAGCTTACTGTCTCTAGTTACCTATAATAAATGAAGGAGGCCCAAATGCCCATCTTGTTAGAACGATCAGCAAACTCAGCAGGGGGCTGGTCCACTGTCCCTCAGACCTTGTTGGGGGGGGGACGACGACTATATTTTGGGAAGAAGAAAACACGCTAATCCCTATGCCCCACAAATAACCCAGAGCTGCATTTTAAATAAAAGCACACATTCTACTCGTGTGTATTTGAAGAAGTGTGCATGTACACGAAAGCTCATACCAAGAACTAACTTAGTTGGTCTTTAAGGTGCTACTGGAAGGAATTTTTTTTGTTTTTACTCATGTAAAAACGCTGATTCCCAGATCCAGCCCCCGGGCCTTAGTTTGCCTACCTGTATGTTAGAACCTAGGAAGCCCAGGATTTCCGAAAGGGAGTGTTACCTGCAGTTTGAACTTGGACCACTGAGCTATAGCCCTTCTCTGAAATTCCTGTTGCTTTGAATGCAAAGCCTCTAGTACTGCTAGTGGGTGCAGATTTTATATAGTCTCCCCCCACCCCCAATTTCCTTAATCCTAAAAGTGCATCAAATTTATGCCATTTTACAGTTAAGCTGGAAGCAGTGGGCCTGTTGTTTAGTCGTGTCCGACTCTTCGTGACCCCATGGACCAGAGCACACCAGGCACTTCTGTCCTCCACTGCCTCCCGCAGTGGGTCTAGACACTACATTTTCACGGTTGGGAATTTTTGTATTTCACTGAGTGCACTTACTAAATCATCCACTAGAGGGGGAGCTTTCTCCAGAATTTCTAGTAATTATTTTCCTGCAAAAGGAGGCTTAGATTCAGAAACTGATGGCCTAGATTCAGAACTGAACTTTTTTCTCATAACTGGCAAATTACTGATGCGTCAACATATGCAGAACAATCAAATCAGACTCCAAAGGCAAAAGCACTGGTTAGGTGACCTTGACAGAACTTTTCCCCCTAGAGAAAACAAAACAAAATGACTCCAAAGAACTGTCCTTTTCCTTTTTTTTTTTAAAATAATTTTTATTAATTTTCCAAGCATATAATAAAAACAGACAATCAAACAAAACATACAAACATACAAACATATAAACATGTATACTTTCGTAATCTTATCTTCCTACACCTTGCTTCCCAGACTTCCCCATACCTCCCCTTTTCTGCATCCTTGTTTTTGCCTTTCTTCAGCAACCCTCCAACTGATTAATTAATTCACTTTCATTCTAATTTCCTTAACTTACAAAGAAGAACTGTCCTTTTGCGACCTAGCTGAATGGGAAGTTGTGCAGAAGACTGATGGTTTGTTTATGAATCAAGCCGCTCCTGTTTAGCCAAACTGATAATAGGAGGAACAATCCGCACTGCTCCTGCAAAGGCATAGTCATGTCAAAAGTCATATTTGACTGGTCTGAGAAGCTTGTCAAGTTGACAGATCCATAGCCTGCCTCCCTTTATGTGCCTGTTTTAGTCAGTTGCAACACCTGAATAGGTGACAGTCCTAAGCCTCTGAGGGGTTGTATTAAGGCAGGACACTTGGATGCGGGTGGTGCTGTCGCCAGTTCGAATCTGCGACAGGGTGAGCTTCCTTTGCTCTGTCCCAGCTCCTGCCAATTTAGCAGTTGGAAAGCATGCCAGCACAAGTAGATAAATAGATCTACCGCTGCAGCAGGAAGGTAAACTTTCCGTGTGCTGTGGCTTCCCATCACTGTGTGTGTCCTGTTGCACTAGAAGTTGTTTAGTCCTGCTGGCCACATGGCCTGGAAAAGCTGTCTGCAGACAAATGCTGGTTTCCTCAGCAGAGATGAGTGTTGCACCCCATAGTCAGATTTGACTGGACTTGACCATCTAGGGATCCTTTACCTTTTTACTATAATCTTATTTTATACTATTAGCTCATTCAGGATGATTTCTCTGCTGTGGAATTAGATCAGAATAGGGATAAGAAAAAACTGTGTTCATGTGATGCTTATTGGGGATACCTTTTCCCACTTCTGGCCAGCCAGGATATTATTATTATTATTATTATTAAAAAGTGAGCAAGTTTTTGTGTTCTCCAGAACTCTTTAGCCTTTAAGATGCAGTGTGTAAACCTAAACCTAACAGGCTAGGTTCCCCCAGGTCCTGTGCAGGTTTATGGTTACACCTAGAGAGGCTGGGATAAAGTAACAACAGTGGAACCTCGGGTTGCGAACATGATCCGTGCGGGAGGCACGTTCGCAACCCGCAGCACCGCGTCTGTGCACGCGCAGGTTGCAATTCGGCGCTTCTGCACATGCGCAAAGTGCGATTTAGTGCTTCTGCACATGCGCGAGCACCGAAACACAGAAGTATCCCGTTCCGGTACTTCTGGGTTTGGCGCAGTGCACAACCCGAAACTGCATAACCTGAAGCGTCTGTAACCCAAGGTACCACTGTAATTGGTTGGTTCCTTAGACCTGTCTTCTCATTTGACTAACCAGAAGATATTACTGGGGGGGGGGCCGGGTGAGCAGCTAAGTTCTGGATATTCACTTTTGCATCAGCAGCTCTTCAGTCCTGGTCTGTGGAAATCTGGTCTGATTTGCATATCAGCCTTTCACAATGTGCTTGTCCCCCTTTGCAAATGCACTAGGGTGGCACATGTGATTCTGTCAATGTGAAAACCTTCCATCTGGTCCCATAAGGGCAGTGTGCATTTGCAGTCTGGCACGTAAGAGACTTGGGACATTCAGAAGGAATAAAGGTATTCAATCTCTGGCTTTAAGTGCTTATCCTGAATCTCTCCTTGTAAGTTCTGGATAGCTTTGTGGCCAGGACTTCATGCAGTCAAAGGTTCTGTGATATTATTTGTCAGGTGCCATCAATATTAGCAGAACGAGGCAAGCAGTTACCAGATTTGCTGTCTTCTCCATTATCTTAGGCTTTGCTTCCTATATATCAGTTTTCCACAGTAGCTTATTTGACTAGAACTAGCTCAGTTGTCTGGCGTGCTCTGGTCCATGGGGTCACAAAGAGTCGGACACGACTAAACGACTAAACAACAACAAGTTCAATTGTCAATACGTCTTCCTATATATATATAAAGTAAGGCTGCCACCACACAAGCCATAATGAAAGATATATAATGCCACGTTACAATCCTGGATTTGCATGAAGTCAAGAGCGCAGTCTCCACTGAAGGATCTGTAGCACCTCACCATCAATCACAACGCTGGATTTCAGTGAAGGCACAGTTGGAGGAAGAGAGATGGCAGGTTACAGAAGAGCAGCAGCCATGACATGGAAGGGAAGGGCCCTTGAATGTAAAGTAGTGGGGGAGATTTGAATTGATTGGAAAGGGAGGGTTATTTTTATTTTTTAAAGGGAGAAAAAACAGAGATGGGTACAACATAGATGCTAACACGAAAAAGGTAACACAACAGAGCCTTTCCCAACTCCTTTCTGTACTCAAACTTTGTTTTAAACCACAACTTTAACCCTCAGTGCTCTGCTCAAATTTCTTTCCCATTGTTCAGCTGCCTTTTGTGAGAGAAATGATCCAGAGCCCTCATATATTCCATTGTATTTTCACACAATGTATTTTCCTGGTACCCTGTTGTTTTCAACGTAAAAGTTCCAGATTCGATGCATAGGCGCCGACTCCATGGGGCTTGAGGGGGCCCGAGCCCCCTCAAAAATTCGTTTGGGGGGGCTCTGCCCCCCCAATAATCTCCGGCGCCCCTCCAGCAGAGCGCCATCGCCACCCCTTCCCCAGCCCAAAATGCACAGGGAGGGGCGGGCTGCATGCCTCCTGCCCTCCCTCCCGAGCAAAAGCTCCACCCAATTTCCTTTGGAGCTGATTAATAGGCGCAGCACGCTCTCCCCTATTCGCTCACGAGGAGGCGGCGCCACTTTATTTGCATATTCATGAGCTTATTTATTATT